ATAGATAATATCGGTATCAAGGTTGGAAAACTCGCAAGCTATAGATTGTATTGATATAAACGAGGTTTAGGAGATACTGACACAATTAAATATTGCTAAATCTTCAACAGAATACCCTAAACATCAAGTAAGTAAATGATTATCAACGTGGACATAGTGATCAAATTAGAGGCATTCATTTTATATCTCTAGAGCAGTCAAGTAAGCTCAAAATGTGCACATTACGTCCTTAATGCACCTTTTAGGTCTAAGAAAACACACATTGAAGCTATATCAATATGTTGACTCATATAACACAAAAGATATCATATTGATATATCCAGCTCCATTTGGCAATAGGAAACTAAATCAATGTATTCAGATACTACTAATAATGAAATATCAAACAGTACTTTTAAAGGCAAACCGAACATGTACAGCATATGTGTGAAAGATAAATGGCACCTCGAAGGCAGGCATATCGCGCTGGGCACTGCTGACACTGTGAGCGGTCAGTGAGGTCAGTGCGATTGCTCAGTGTCCCTGGTGGGCAGGCATTGGCCGGCGGGTTGGGTTTAGAGGAACCAGGAGGACATGCAAAGCTATCAAGATTCAGGCAAAGATAGGGTAACAATTTTAAGTCAGACTTAGATTACAGGTAAGATTACAAAAATCCATTTGTAAGAGAAATGTTTATAGTCCTTCATATCAGACATGCAGTATAAAAAAACACAAGTTTTCTGTATCATTGAAGCATGCTTCATTGAAAACCTTTTCTTACCCTTGCATGCAGTCGACATCGGGGGCTCTCAAAGCTACCTGTGTGCAGGCCTTTCCTGCATAACACTCTCTACAATCAGTCACCTCATCTTGACCCTCTAAGGGGTTAAAGGAGCCTGGTGGGCAGGGCACAGGGTCGCTTCTCCCCTCAGGACAGTAAAAACCAGCCGGGCATTTGAGACAGTCCTTCACACCTGGAGGGCATAGTTACAAGATGCCAAGATGAATGTAGGTTTGTAATACACTGTAGCCTACTCTATTAGGATAGGTCTCTTCATTTGAAGGTATCATTTGAAGTTGTTTCAATCTACCCATTTTATCTATACTGGCTCCAGCTTGTCATCCACAGTTTTTTTTATAGCTAGCTATATAGCTTTTTCTCTTCGCCCTCTCGACATCCATCTGTCGCAATTTCTCATCTATATATCCCGTTTCATGGGAACAAAACAACACTTACATCTTTATATAATCATTGAGTTTTGCTATGAGAGACTGCAATAGCACCATATTAGTTTAAGCTGAGCTGCTGAGGAACTGTAGGGAAGTTCACAAATATTAATTTCACTTTTAAATAAACCGCAAGCCAGAGCCTTTGCCCAGTATGCAAGGGGGGGGGGGGAAATCAATGACTGTGTGTATGAAATATTACTTGGCGAGTATAAAAGAGTAATAATCCAGCTTATAAATTCACTTATTGCTCCTTGATGGGGGGTGAAGGTGCCTCGAGGACATATCACTTCTTCCAAGGTGCCAGCAGGACAGTATTTCCCACGAGCACAGGGCAGGCCAGGACCCGATGAGCCTGTGCCGCACAGACACATATACCCCCACACACACACATCACACAATCTTCATTTCATATTCTTTCTTCAAATATTGTTGGAGTTACTGACTGTGCCACATTTGATCTGACACATCCATGGACGTCAGTGTATTAGGGCTAAGACTTACCTGGAGGACAGAAGCGTCCTTCTCCACATCTCTTGCAGGCTGCCCTACTTGTCTGACCCAGTTGTTCCCCCGCTGTACCAGCGGGGCAAGGTGACCCATGCGGGGTGCCGGTGCCCTCTTCACAGTAATAGCCCTGTGGGCACAGGAACTGGGAGGTGGGTCTCCATGAGCTGCCTTCCAGACAGTAAAACCCTAGAGAAAAGTGTTTATAGAAACGTTCATGAGAATGTTTTTCTTTTTTTGTATTTTACAGTATATCATATCATATATTAAGACATACAAACACATTATCTAAGTAAAATTGTCCTATTAGGCTTGAAAAACTGTGGCTGAGTTGGTACTGAGTTTCTGGGTATATATACTGTTGGAACGTGGAACTGTGAGTACATTTTAGAAGGTTCGCCACCATCAATCAATACTCTACCTGTAGGACAGATTGTGCATTCTCTCAACGTCTGCAGACCTTCTTTAGGGCCATAAGTCCCTGCAGGACAGGGTACAGCTACACCTCCCACACAGTACTGGCCTGGGGCGAAAACAAACATCAACTAATAGAGGTAGACAAATAGAGACAGATGGAGGTGAGGAAACCGTAAATGTAAATGTCAGTGTGCAGTGATAAACTCTAACCTATTGGACAGACCAGACATGATAACTCTTCCCTCGCTTCTTTGTATGTTCCTGGTCGGCAGCCGATCGTTTGACTGGACCTGTGGACTGGCTGGCTCCAGCGGGGGGTCTCAGCTCCTACACACAGCGACGACGTATCATTACAGTTACAGTAAGTCTGTCCAGGTGTGGAAGACCAACTAGGAGGACAGGGGAGCGGCTGTGACATCCCACTGTCTGGACAGTAACCTCCTATGGCAGACAGAGGACACAAAGTCACAGATTTATTTCAAGTCTACTGATATATCTAATGCTGTACTGAGAGCAGATTAGAGAACGTTGATTTATTTCTGCACTACCTGCTGGACACTGCAGGCACTGGATAGTGCACACAGTGGAATAGAAGCCTGGAGGACAGTCATTGCACATAGTGTGATGTTGGTTGGGCTCTTTGCCAGGTTTACACTGTAAGGAACATATAAGAAATGAATAAGGGAGAAAGGAGCATATGACTTAGCCAAACTTTACCAACCATTTATAATTGCAAACCAGACATTGTCTCGCTCAGATACAACACATTTTAGGACGAAGGACATGAAATTAAAATATTGTAATATTTACCTTTCTAGGAAATCCAGAGGAGCAGACAGAATCTACAGGGCATGTCAGACACTGGAGGACCCCCTCAGGAGAATGTTGTCCTGGGGGGCATAAAGAAAGCGTCCCTTTGGCTGGATCACATGAGAAACCTGCAGGACAAAGTCTACAGTCCACTCTATCCTCTGAACTGATGAGACCTGGAAAACAAGGCTGCAAACATACCAAAATGAGTAAAGACAGTACAACGACAACCATACCATCTGTCACACTGCATCAAGAACAATATTTGAGGTTTATAGACACACGTGAGGGGAAAAGTATGTGAAGTCAAGTTTATGTTGAATAGACCTTTTTCATTTGATCTGCATGTCAAACACAGGTGTAACTAATCATTAATTGCTGCATTTCACTGCAGTAACCACTGAAGCAAAGTCGTTATTAGTTCCACCTGTGCTGTTATGAGATGAAGTCAAAAACGTTTGTTGTGAAAAAGGTCTTTTAATCTGATTCATTGTTAGAAAGATTATCTAATGAAATATGTACTTTATTTGGCTTTCAAAGGAGGGCGTGACAGAAAAATTTATAAAATAAGTTTGTTGTATGATGACGGGCTTTTATTGACAGCAGTCTCTCACCTTGCAGTCACTGAGGCTGCTTTTTCCCGTGTAAAGGTTGAATGTTCCTGCTGGACATCTATGAGGTGCAGATACATTGCCAGGGCAACTATACAACATAAATATATTAATTAATTGTCTAAATTACAGTTAAATGTATCATTATTATTATTTTGTGTCTTATTTAACATTTTTACAAGTGATTAAAAGAAACAAAATGTTTTTACATTAAGGTTGCATATATGTATTCTCATAGTGTACATAGTAAAAGTATACAGGTCAGTAATCAAAGATGGTTGATGACTTACAAATGACCAGAGGGACACTCCAAACAAAGCTGGTGGGAGAAGTATTTTCCCTCTGGACACTGATCGATGTCTGTCCCTTCACCGAGGGAGAGGTCTGCACTCCCTTCAGATGATTCTTGCACACATAATGTCAGGAAGGATGTAGAAGAGACATTAGAAAGACTGTCTAGTCAAGTGGGTTGTTTCTTCTTAAATTAGCTCAATTTGTTTGCTCTTTACTTTTAACTGTCATTGCTCTTACCTGAGGCGTGTCCAGACTGTGGCATCAGCAGAAAAATCCATGAAGCTGAAAAACCAAACAGGTACATTACTTTCCATGAGCACATTATCACTGAATCTCTAGTCAAGTCCACACTGGTTCATTTTTTTGGTATAATTTCATTCAAGACTGTTTGGTCTTAGCCTACAGGACTGACTGTTTAAAGGCATGAAAGTGAGAGGCCCTCAGTCACTGAAAGTGAAACGAGAGCGTGAAATGTGAGTCCCTGGTGACTGCTCTAGCTGATAATGGTGTGCAATGATGTTCTGAAACTGTAGCTTCCACTTCCATAATTCATGAGTATGTGCAAAAGCTAACCTAGATATTGTCTCTGTTAGTGGATTACTTCAATTATTTATGTTACTTGTGTGTTTCATTTAAAAGTTATAAAGAGAATAAAATATGGGACAGATATGAAAAATGTGATACATTTTTGGCATTAACTAAATGAATCCACACGCTAACGCTGAACGTTTTATCACAAAAGACCTCCTTTATCTTCAAATTGAGAGGATTTGAAAATAAATGAATTCATGTCAGTGGAAAATGAATGCCAGGCACATCCTCTGAGCAGAGAGTAGGCAGCAAATGTGCATCTGCAGAAATGTGCAAACCACAATATCATGTGTATTTGTTCAAGCCAGGTGCACAATGTATGCTTTGCACTATTGAAACATAAGTAAAGAGGCAGTTACATAAATATGTTATTATGTCATTTGTGTATCATCATGTTTGAGAATTTCTTCTTTTTTTTTTTACTTTGCAGGAAGTGAGTTGCAATAAATAAAAGTTATGAATTTTACACAGCTCTGAATCCTGAATGCCACTTCCTGTTGCATATGTGTGGGTATTTCAGCATTTGCCTGCAGGTGCAAGCATCACTAAACTAGGTGTGCACAATATATATTATTGCATGTTTGGAGACGGCAGGAATCAGAACAACAATGACAATCTCCGTCCACTTCACTTTGCTCTTTTTTTGGGTGGCACAAGGTAATATATATATATACTCTTTGTTATTGGACTGGACTCTAGCAATTAAGTGTGTTAAATACATGTGCATGTATTCAATGATGCACTCACCTATACAAATGTGCTCTTTATTTGATGTAATACAATGTTTTCTAAAGTAGATCCAATGTTCTCTTTTTGCAGATTTTGTGAGCTGTGTTAATATGACGATACCCATCAATTTCTTGGCTGTAGCGTTGGGTGATTCTCTAACATTAAACTGCACATACAACTGCTCCACTGGATTTGTTCGTGGCTGTTGGAGCCACGCATCAGACAACTCTGGCTGCCACAGGACAAAAGAGCAGCAGAGAAGCAGCTTGTGCGTAACGTCCCTTCATCTATCAAATGTGTCTACTGAAGATCTTAAGAAGAACTACACTTGCTACACAGTAGCTATAGATTACCCTCAACTTCCACAAAAAACAGAGCGCATTGTTATACTGCAACTCCAAGGTAATTATTATTAAAATCAATAAAAGATATATCTGGATTTTGGCAATTCTTCAAGATGCAACAAGTAAACAAATGTTACAAAGCTGGAACTAGATTTGATTCCAGTTTATTTGTTGTTATTTCTTTTTAAGCTGAACGTGTCCCAAACTGGACAGCTACGCCAAAGACTAAAAATGGTGAGGACCTTCTATGTTAAAAAAAAAAGTATTAAAATGTCAGATATGAAGTAGTCCACAATTGTAACTATACATGATTTTTACAAATTACTTGTATTTATATATACTATATACTATATATTCTATATTTCTCAGCATCGCTTCCTGCTAAGCCGAAAGATCCAACTGAAGGTGAGATGGGACTTTGAAGCATATATACACACACATATTATACAAGCTTACTACACCTTCTGAAGCATTATTTGTCAATTGCATTGAACAATGTAATATATTGTAATCGTCACGCTGAGGAGCCAGATAAACCAATGTAAACCTTAAAAGTGTAGGTCTTTCCTTAAGAAGAGTTGCAAAGAAAGCCAAGGCGACAGTGAGTAGTTTTTTATCCACTTGGAAACTAAAGGAAACTCTGACAGGAAGTAGTCTGGTAGACCCAAAGTCACAACAGAATCAGAAGACATGTTTCTCAGAGTCAACAGCTTGCATGACAGGCGGCTCACAGGACAGTTTCAAGCACAGCTTAACACTGGTCGAAATAAGGAAGTCTCGGTTCCAACTGTGAGGAGAACATTTGCAACTGCAGGTTTGACAGGTTGAGCGGCAGTAAGGAAGCCATTGCTAAGATGGTGATATCTACAGTTTATCACGTAGGGTTTTGTTACGCCGCGGAGAGAGGCGAAAGGATTGTTCCTCAGTGTGTGACACCAACTGTCAAACATGGAGGAGGAAGCGTGATGTTTTTTTTGCTGGCTTCATAATCCAGCATTTTACAGCGCCATGTAATGCCCTCTGGCCTACACCTACTTAGTCAGGAGTTCATCCTACAGCAAGATAATGACCCAAAACAAACCTCGGGGCTATGAGTGAACTAAGCACAAGCTAATAGGCTTCAAATCATGGAACGGTCAGCACAGATTTTAACCCCATCGAGCTGAGTAGGGATGAACTGGACAGGAGAGTGAATGCAAGGCAACCTACGTGTGCAACACATTTGCGGAGACTACTGCTACAGTGTTGGGCATAACTTTCCAAGCAATATTTTACATCTATTGTAGAAAGAATGGCGCGCAAAGGCGGCTAACTTGACCTGTACTATATGGGGAACTAAAAAGTAAAAGTTGCCCTTTTGATGCAATATAATCCAAGTTAATACTGTTGTTTCCATGTTAACAGGAGAATTTACTGGTATTAAGGTTTTAGCAACAGTTACCGTTGCTGTGGCCATGGTGCTTGCAGCATCAGCCGTTTACCTGTGTCTGAGCCGCAACAGACGGAGCTGGAATGATAAAGGTGATTACAAAATATTACAATATCAATTCACACACTTGCTGTAAAAAGTAACAATTTCTAAATAAAAACATTGTGTAAATAATGTCACACATTCCAGGGGAGCCTGTTGAGACCAGGTCAGGGTGAGTACAATTGACTGAATGACTATTTGGCAAAATCTTTGTTAAATCTTGTTAAATCGTTAAAAATCTATAATTTAGCTAAATTCTTTACTTGCTCATTTCTTTATATTCTCTTATTTAAGCTCACGACTACCTCCTCACGCTGCCCCCTCACCAGTCAAGGGTAAATAGTTTAAAATATGAAATATAAAATGCAAGAATTTCAATCTCCAAATCCAGTTACCATTCATTCCTGTCATATTCCCCAGGGTCACTGTCAACACAAAGTGAAAGAGTGAGGATTTCTACACCGGGTAAGATGATCTCTGGATCAGCAGAATCACAACACTTGTTTTCCAAGTGTCACAGCATCACCGTTTGCAATACAAAGACTGACAATAACTTATAATGAATAATTTCTTTGTCCCAGATATTGAGAGTGACACTGAGGTTCCATATGCTGACATCATGATCACTGTCCGAGGTGTCAGTACACCAGAGCTTACTCAGGTCGGATACTTGACTCCTGGAGATCAAAAAGAGGTGAGCAACACGAGAAACGTGGCTTCAGAATCGATATGTTTGTCACTTTTATCTCTCAAATTTGAATCCCAAATTCATAGGACAGCTGATTCTCCTCAACCGTAGATCAAGTATGCTACATGAATCCAAAGATGGTAAATGCGGTGTTATGGTGATCACCTATGGTGGTTTATTATAGTGGTATATTTGATCACAATGAGGCAGAATGAATACCCAAAATATATTAGCCTAAATGAATGAGCAGTTGCTTGGCTATGTTTCACAGACAGCTCGAGGCCGAGGGAAAGTAAGGAGCTACCAAACAAGAAATGTGGGGTCTGCTCAATTTTAACACTTCTTCAGTTTATTTATGGGTGAAATTGTATAAATAAACATTAAATTGATTAGTTATTGAAACATTTCTCAATAGATCGCAATATATTTTAACAGCACCACAAACTACAGCCTCCAAAATGACCATACAGTTTAACACCTGTTTTAAAAATGTGGTGTTGAATTAGCCAGATGTACCAAATAAACTGGAAACTGCATTGATTGTTTCAATGTTAGTTAGTTAGTTAGTTACGTTTTCTTATTGATTTCAATATTGGTCTTAATCTGCACATTGCATGGTTAGCACGTAAACCTAATAACAAATTGTTTTGGAGTAAAACACGTGGTTGCTTGGAATAAATGTGTTGCTGTAACCTTTAAATACACCACATGATGAAGATGTTTTTTCTCTCTCAGTAACAATGACAATATTATTAAAGAGCCTACCAGGGGAGGCCCCTCTAAAGTCTTGAGACAGTCTAGCTAATCCTAACATGCTAATGTCACATGAGTTTGTTTCTGCTTCTCCTTCAGTGGTGGGGAGAAGAACCAAGGTCTCACATGCAGGCCTCACGTTCAGCTGACAGGCTGCATGTCCCCCAGCCCAGAGAGGTCAGCCGCAAGATGAGCACCAACTCTGAATATGCAGTCATCACATACGCCTGACTGAGGTCCTTGCTGGTGGAAGAGATGAGAGAGAGAAGGAAAACAAGCGCCTTGTTTTTTATATACATGTTAATACACTTCATGTTTCTGCTTTTTAAACAATGGTTTAGTATGTACCTATCATATTGTTTTGTACGTCTTCTATGTGTAAAATGGACCCGCATTCATATCCAATAAAGCCATTATTTCTTGTAAGTTTTGAGCCTTGTCAGTGTCCGTAGTTACAACCGTTACCTAGAAACAGCTGTCAACAAAACACAGTAGCAAACAGTTGTCAGCTAAAACATTCATACGTAAAGGTGGATACGAAGTGCAAGTCATTTAAGGTACCAGGTCTAACTAATTACTAATGTTTTGACATTTTCTAAAACTTGCTAAAGTATTAAAGTAATCTAAACTACCAACGTTAGTTTATATTCTGTGGAAAGTTCCCAGTGTTAGCTGATAGCTAACGTTAGCTCCTCCCCTCTTCTACTCTAAATTACCCACCAGGAAGAAAGTAAATAACTGATAAAAACGTCGACTTCTCCTGGTTATCCCTAGCTGTCTCAGAAGCTGCCGTCCCAGTTTATGCTAGAACATGTCAATACCTTTCTCCATCACTCACCTGCGGGTCCCGCAAGGATTTGGTCCCATCCTGGAGGGGTTGGCCAGAGAAGTCCTGCGAGACCAGCCCGAAGACATCCCTAAATATGCTGCACAGTATTTCGATGCTCTTCTCAAGCAAAGAGAGGGTAACTGCAACGTTACATTTGGTAAATTAAGACGAATGCCATTTAAACTGCTGTCAGGTAATTGATTGTTTTTTGCTTGTAACTCAGATAGTGGAATGGACCCTGCTGAGTGGGCAGCTAAGCAGGAAGACACGTATAACAACAATGCATTGAAGGCTGCAGGGGTACAAATTCAAAGTCACTACTCTCATCTTACCTATAAATCTCTCCTCTGTTAGGTCTCTCCGTTTATTCCCCGTTACACCTTTGTTGTTTGTTTTTACTCAACAGGCTATTCCTGAAAAAGACCCTGAAACAGAGGTGACCATTTCCAAGTGAGTCTCATCTTATGTGCTATCAACAGCCAGGAGGATCACCAGGACAGGGAGAGGATACACACAAGGGAAAGAATATAACAAGTAGAAATAAAGAAGAAATTATTATTACGTTTAATATTTGTTTTCTTTATAAATTTAAGGTTTACACCTAGAGTTGTTGTGTGAAGTCATCTTATATTTTTCTGCATATCTTTTAAGCAAAAAATAAAAATAATATACAAATAATATGATAATTACTTTAATGATTTTTTTTTTTTAGAGAAAAATCACTTGAGTACCAAACTGAAGATGAATCAGAAACCTTAAATCTTTCCACTACGCATCCCAATGTCTCTGAAGATGTGGATTTAACTGCAAGCGCAGAAGAATATGAGGAAAAACACGACATGACAGAGAAACACGTTGTTTCACTGGAAAAGGGAATTTCAGAAGAGGAAACAGGCAACATGCTCCCAGCTGTAGATGTACAGCCAGATGGTGTGAGCGGGGCCGAGGAAGAGAAAGACCCAACAATAACTACATTTGATCATGTTGACAGGGCGGCTAATGGAAAAGATAGCAGCTCGGCTTCAGACCATGATATGCCTCAGTCTGAGTTAGAGCCCACTGACTTGTCATCATTCAGAGCGATTATAAAGGTAGATGTGTGTTCTCAGGAGTTAGGAACGGCAGAAGATGAGGAAGGTGATCAACAACAGACTGCAGTAGTAGATGAGGAGATTGTAGACTCAGAAGGAGTCAAAAAAACTGGAGTGGAGGCCTTTCCATATTCTGGGCTAGCTGATGTGGATGTGTGTGCTACAGAGCTTGGATTAACAGAAAGATTAATTGATGGTGCCACTTCTGAAGATGATGATGACAACTCAAAACCCCAACCTGAGGAAACTGTTGTACAATCATCATTGTCTCCTGAGTGCAATCAACGTGAAGCAAAATACCAGGTAGAAAAAGCAAAGGAGGAGGAAGCAACAGAGACTGAGGCTTCTCCTGGGGGAATAAATGAAAGTTTAGCTCATATTAAGGGTGGTTTACACATTAATGCTATACCAAAGGAGGATTCCTTGGTTGAGATCAGCTTTGAAGATGTTCCAGAGAATCAGCAGATTAAAGAGTTTGAGGAGAAACAGTCAGAGGAAGAGGGCTCAGTGGAGGTCTTACAGAACGAGATATTAGAAATGCAACAAGAGGAAGAGTCCAAAGAAGTTGCTGTCGTGTCAACAGACCAAAATAAATCTAGCACACAAGACCAAGATGAACTTGAAATGAAGGGAGTTGAAAAAGCAGTTCATTTTGAAGGGGGGGAAATGGAAAGTCAGCATGAGGCATTTCATATAATGAAAGAGAAGGTGGACACAAACACAAATGATTATAATTTAACTGATAGTGATGATGATGATGAGAAGCGCAAAGGTGTTAAAACCAGCTCATCACATCAACCAACCAGCGAGGCAGACGAAGAGAACCCAGAGGATGAAACCGATCAGAATGAACATAATGAGAAGATGAGGGAAGGCGAATTTCACCAGAATTCTGAAGAAGAGGCAAAGTCAAACAACCCTGACGACAAAGAAGATGAGACAACAGACACGGTTGGAGGAGACAACGGGGACATACATGCAGAAGGTTATAGTGAGGTGGAGGATCATTCTCCACAAGTCACCTGGTCAAATGTATCGACGACTGCAACCGAGAGTGAAACTTTAGAGGCAATTGCACAACTTCCACTGGAGGAGAACGAGGAGGGTCAGAGAACACCTGAGTCACAGGATGCAGTGGTAGAAAAAGAGAGAAGTTCAGAAGCAGAGGACCTTGTAGAAGAAGGACAGATTGATTCTGAAATACAAAAGAAGAGCGATGCAATGTGTGAAGAGGGCAGCATCATCCTCACGGAAAGCGCAGATCAGCCGGCTGCGAGTCACCAAGGAGAGGAGAGGCCGCTCGAAAAGGATTCCACAGAGCCTGAAGGCAAGAGTGGTGACAAGGTAAAGATTTGAATCTTCTTCTCAATACGGAATATATGCACCACTGATGCATCATATTTCACACATTCTTATATGCCTTAACATTATAGATGGACATTTTTGTCATTAAAACATAGCCCTGATAGTTTACCATTTGAGTTTAATAGAGGCTGTTGCAACTCACCACATCTCCACTACTTGTATCAGCGGGCTGAGAATAAATGTTCATACAGTTTCAGACTGCTCCCATTTCTGTCTCAGGTAGTCTTTATAAATAAACCCTTCAAGGACGAGTCTGATCAACAGTGGCCCTCAGTTTATTCCCCTTGGACTCTCTAGGGGTAGGTGATTGAAAATATCCCCAGAAATAGTTCATTTTTTGACAAGTGGTTGCTCTAATAAACACCATAGACATCGAAATGCAGTGCAGACATTGTAGTTTCAGTGTCTAAATTCACCATAAGCTGTTTGAGGCCTCTGCTGTGCCGCATGCTCATCAAACTGTATAGTGTTGCTTTGTTAGTGCCAGATCCGCTCTCCTCCTGGGAGCCACTACAGCCTCCACAGATTGAAAGTTGATTCAGTAATCTATCATCATAAAAGACAGACTGGACGATTTGTCTGATGAAGTAACGCCTTTCAACACGTTTACTGCCGTCACAGTTGGCCCTGTCGGGTTTGTCTGGACCAACGAGGCTCCAAACACACGGGGGGGGGGGGGTACTAAGGATGTTACCATGGTAACCCCTCACCATCCGGCTCGCTCTTTGTGTCATCATGGAATTAATAGGAGATGGTGATGCTGATAGTTGCTAGGCACCATCTCAGTAATCTACCTTTAATGGCAGTTTTTTTTTTTTTAAATGAGTGATTAAACAGTGAAACAGCACTTTCTGTATTTTTGCATACAGTAGAGTGCTGTTCTTTTATACTCCTGCTTAGTGGCAGAAGTTATTTCTGAAAGAAAGCTACCACAAAACTGTACAATATATAGGCCATAAAGTATCTATCTATCCATCCATCCATCCGTCCGTCCAAACGTCTATCTGTCTATCTATCTATCCATCTATCCATCTGTCTATC